CTTTTCCGGCGCGTGGGGTGGCGCGCTTGCAGTAATAGTAATTCTCCTTGCACCTAACCAACTTACCCTCAACTACGGGCCAAAATGTGGGCGCCTCTCCCTTCGCTACAGACGTGTTACTCGGAGATCTCCCCTGCCTACGTCCCCTGGTACACCTTGAGGTTCTATGCACTCCATGTTCGCTTGATGGCCTTCCCCCCAACACGTTCCAGCTTGAATGTGGCCGGCCCTACCATCTCCCGGACACAATACGGTCCCTTCCACTTGGGAGCGAGATTTCCCTCGCACGGCTTTGGCCGGAAGTCTCTTCGTAACACCAGGCTTCCCAGGCGTATCTGATGAGGACGCATCTTACGATTATAGTACTTGGCCACCTGTTGCTTCATGGCCTCGAGTCATACGGAGGCAATATCTTTGCGCTCCTCCAGCATGTCGAGGTCGTGTACACGCTCCTCCCCATTAGTCGACTCCTCATACTCTGCCACGCGATACGTGGGAAAGCGCACTTCCACCGGGATAATTGCCTCACTACCATAAGTCAATGCAAACGGCGTCTCTCCTGTCGCCACCTTGTGTGTTTTCCTATGCGCCCAAAGCACGCCTGGGAGCTCTTCGACCCATCTCCCCTTGGCCTCCAGCAATCTCGTATGGAGTCCATGCAAGATGCTCTTGTTAGTCGCCTCTGCCTGCCCATTGGCCTGGGGGTAAGCCACCGAAGAGAAGCGGATAACGACGCCGCTTTTGTCACCGAATTCGATGAACTGGCGGCAATCGAACTGCTTGCCGTGGTCAGCTACGATTGATTCAGGCAGCCCGAACCGCGAGAAGATATTCTTGGTCGTAAACTTTCTGACCTGAGCCTGGGTGATGGTTGCCAAGGGTTCCGCTTCCACCCATTTTGAGAAGTAGTCGACCGCTACAATGAGATACTTCATCTGCCCGGGCACCTTAGGGAAGGGTCCCAGCAGATCCATCCCCCACTGTGAGAACGGACATGCGCCCACGTTGCCCTGCATGGGCGCCTGCGGGACATGCACGTCGTAGGCATGAATCTGGCACTGGTGGCAGCTGTCCACATGCTTCTTGGCGTCCTTTCTGATAGAGGGCCAGTAGTAACATTGGCGCAACAACACCTTCTCGAGACTCCTCGCACCCGCGTGCATGCCGCAGCCGCCTTGGTGCACCTCCGCTATCGCTCTTTCTCCTTCTGCCTCCATGAGACACCTTAGGTAGGCCCCAGAGTGTGACCTCTTGTACATCTGACCTTCTAAAATCGTGCAACGGGCGGCCTTGCGTCTCACCTGCCATGCCTGCCTTGCATCTTCAGGGACCGTTCCATGGAGCATATATGCCTTAATCGGGGTCATCCATCCCTCCTCCTCACTGCCCTGCTCTCCGATCACCCCCACCATTGGCTCCTCCAAGGGGTGCTCCTTTGAGACAATCACGTGCCTTTCGTTCTCGAAATCAGTAGCGGAGAGCAGGGCAGTGACCAAACATGAACGTTTTAAGTAATCCCAGTGACCAACCTTGTCATTTAACAGGTAAGTAAAATCGTAGGATTTTAGAATTTAAATTGGGATTTTAACTGCATTGGCGAGGGGGAGAGGTTTTATTCTTTTGGAAATTTAAAAAAATTAAATTTTATTATTTTTTAATTGTCACGTTTCTCATTTAACGGTCAACTATGAGGAATGACTATCACATCAGGTAAAGTTAACATGAAAGAATGCAATCAAAGTCGAGCTTCTAGGTACAAGTGAAATGATGAGTAAAAGTGAAAGCACAAAAGTGAAGCGTAAGCTTTTACGCATCCTATAATTTTAATAGAAATATATTCTAGCCATAACTTGTATTTTGCAAAAATATTCTAACAAATACTTTCACACACACATAAACTAAATTAATAGGCTTTTAAACAAGCATTCACCACTTTTCTCTTACTTTCGTGAAAAAAAAACATGAGAAGAGAAAACTATGATAAATGATGAAGCTATAAGGGTTCTAAACTAGCTTCACTAATAAGGGAAAGTGGCGACAAATGAGAGGCTGAAGGAGATGACCTTTGATGATAACATAGTCATAGCGGTGGGGTGGGAGTTGTAGGGATGAGAAGGGTTGATGCATCGAGTGAAGATGTCCAAGTTGTAGTAGCAATGAGAGCCACCTAAGAGGAAGTTGGACTCACGTTGAGGGAAACTGAGGGAAAAGGCATTGGAAGTTGGACTTTGGATGTGGCATGTACTGGTTTTGGAGGTAGAGAAAATACGAGAATGAGGAGAAGTGGGTATGAATTAGGGATGATGAATTCATACAAGCAAAGACTGAAAGGATAACGCGACTAGAAAACAAATAAGACTGCATCAATTTCTCTTTTGGCAAATTTTTTTTGAACCGAACACGACCAAATATTGTCATCATACTCGGATATCAAAATCGTAGAAAAGTGATTAAAAGCTAGCTTCTAAGGCTTTTACTTGGCTTGAGAGCTTTTACTATGCAAATGGATTTTTGAACAAAACTGCAATATTTGGGGGTTCCAAAGCGTAAAAGTGTTGCCTTTTAGACTTTAAAGCTAGGTTTTGACTACATTGGTGAAACAAATTAGTAAACTTGAATTATTGAACTAATTTTAGTGATCATGAATGAAATAAAATATTTTTAGTGGCAAAAGTGAAACAATTTAGTAAACCCAGTAACCAAACTTTCAATTGACCTTTTATAAATTACTTAATGATAGTCAGAACAACAAATTACAAATCAGACTACAAAGTCTCCGCTCATTTAAACTTTAAGCTGAATATTTGAATATTGAGTTTATATGTTGACTTTAATATATTTAAATTTTTATCATATGTTGGATTCAAAGAGGAATTAGTATTTTGGATAATGCCATATGTTATTACTTTTTCCATACTATACTTTATGTAATTATATTATATGGGGTCGTTTGGTAGTTGTGATTGTTAGATTTGTGTTTATTGAATACACGTATCGTGCACAATACAATGTTTGGAAGTGTCAAAGTGTAAAACAATGCATGTGTTGTTTTAGGTAGGTCCCAACAACAATCACAAAAAAATGATGCATTATACAATCTCAACTAAAAGTTGAGATTGTTGATTTTAGATTTGTGTCCAATTTTTATTTCCATTTATATCCCTATTAGTTTTTGTCTTATACTAAAAGTTGAGGATAAATGTGACATTTCCACATAAAGTAACTGTATACAAGTCAATACATGAAGTAGAATCTCAACAACCAAACAATATATTATTAAAATGCATACATTGTACCGATACATGTATTTATTTTGTTATGATTCATTACAATATAACGATTTTACATTCGCAATTTTCAAACGACGTTTATATATATGCGCGCACAATATAAACACATTTTCATATATCTAGGGGAAATCAGGTTAAATGGGTAAATGCCATGTTTGGTCACTGAAAAAAATTAATATTAATGTTGGTCACTCGAATTAGTAAAACAATCCACGTTTGGTCACTCTCCGTTAGTCTCCATCCAACTCTGTTAATAAAGTCCGTTAAGTGCTGACATAGCAAACAGAATCGCCTAATCAGCCGAATTTAACCCGAAAAAAAAAACCTAAACCCGACCCGCCACATCATCACAACTTGCCATGTCATTAAAACCCTAACCCATGACCCATGGCGAACCACCCTTCTCTGCCTCCTCATCCTTCTCTCTTTCCCGTTTTTCTTACCCAGAAAACCAAAAAACCCAAATCCCTTCATACCTTCCATCAAATCCACCTGCAGAACTTCAACTCTAACTCTAGATCTGTCCATTTCCTTTTCACCACCCAAATCACGAATCCACTTGCCAACAACAAAAAATCATCAACGTCTTTCATTTTTCCAGATCGAAAAACCTTCGCGGCAACCCAAAAGAAGCAGAGAGATGAGGAGACCAGGAAACCATAGCCGTGAGGAAGAGGAGCATATCTCAAATCATTGCATCCTTAAGCTTCGTAGAGAAGCGGAAGAAAAAGACGACGAATCAGCTGGATCTTCCAAGATCTAGTAAAACCCATTCCCACCAAAATTCCGCCCAGCACCTGCGCTGTCGACCTCGAGCATCGGTAGATCCGATCGTACAAGTCGTCGCATTGATGTCAACCCTCTCCCCATCCTCTTGTCGCAGCTCGCGCCAGTTGCTTCAACCTCATATCTACGAACAGAGGCAATGCATTTTTTGGTTGTTAAAGAAAGGAGCTTGCATCGTCTACAACCAAAACCAGATCTCCTGCTTCTCGTTTTCATGTCCACTGACTACGGATTAAAGGGGGGGGGGTATTGGTGGGTGGGGAGTTGAGAAATGATTTATGATTAAGAAACTGCCATTAGAGGGGGAAAGCAGAGCTCTGATTTTAGTGAGAGAGACAGGAGCGCCGCTGACTATGGCTCTGACCGCCGTGCTGCCTCCGCCCTGAATGACTGCCTTTGGCAATGTTGTGAAAGAGATCTATAGCTCCATGAAGCAGATGCGGTAGTTGGGTACCTCGGGAACGACGTTGGAGGAGGCAAATTGAGTTTTGGGTTCTTTGATTCTGGTTTCTTCGATGGAGGAAGAGAGGGAGAAGAAGAGGGTGGATTAGGCAGAGAAGGATGAGAGAGGCAGAAAGGGTCAAGATCATGATTTGTTTGGGTTGGGTTAGGGTTTGTATTGGGTTGAGTGACATGGCGGGTCGGTTTGGTGATGTGGTGGGTTAAAAAATGGTGAGTCAGCACTTTAGTTAGTCACATAAGCAATTGACTAACGGTGTTAACAAAAACTAACGGAGACTAACGGAGAGTGACTAAAAATGGACCGTTTTTCTAATTCGAGTGACCATAGTTGATATTAATTTTTTCCAGTGACTAAACATAGCACATTTTAGTAATCCTAGTGACCAAACTTGTCATTTACCCAGGTTAAATCAATCAGAGATCCTTCACCCACTACACCCGGCCACCTGGTGAAACCGGTTGACAAACTTTTCTGGTATGCATAACCTGATCGGTAGCTGCACTCCACTCGTCGCAACGAAAAAAGAAAAGGAAAATAAATAGTTTGACCCAACGCTTCTTCTCCAATCTATTCACAGCTTCCCGCTTCCTTACCTGCCGCTAAGGCGCTGACTCCGCAGCGTAATCTTTCTTCTTTCTCCGGTAACGCATAGGCGGGCGGCAGGGTATTTCTCTGCGAACTTGTTAGACCTGTATTCTGGCAACATATTTCCAATCAGAACCAACGTTATATCGACGAAGCATGACGGACGAACGAAGGAATAGGGTTTCCTCCGCTGATTCGCTTCGCAGTGCTACCGAATACTCTCAGTCGAGGCAAAGGTAACTTGCTATTTCCGATTTTGGAATATGATTTTCTTGGAGTTCATTGATGTAGCGCGCGCGCGTGTGGAAGAAGAGATGGATTGAATGTACATATTCCCTTGGCCTGACTCCTCAATTTGTCCTTTCTTCTCGTCTGGAGGAAAATCCATATTTTTGTTAGGTCCGCGTTTGCAAGGAGAAGTTGGGAACAAAGTTCATGAATTTGATGTTTGATGACAATTGGCAGGAAAAGGAGAAAGTGGGATGAACCAGCAGAGTCGCTAGCGGTTTCAGTTGGAGTTGCAGTTCCTGGTTGTATCCCTTTATACAGTGGTGTTGCATCAGCCTCCAGCGCTCTTCTCACAAATCCGCCGCTTGTTGCTAGTTATGCTATCGTTTCACCGGCTTTGCAAGTAGCTTCAGTGCCACAAAGCAGTAGAGTCCCTGCAAAACTTTACCAAGTAAGATTATGGGATACGTTTTGCTGCAAAGTATCACATCCCATTCATGTATTGTATTAAGTATATCAACCTGTATTAATATATCATGTGATTTACTAACATAGATTGCTATACTAGCCAGTTGAACCTGGAAGCTCTTGATAACGCACAGCTCATGTTTGTGTTTTACGATTTGATTTGTGGCTTCAGAATTTCATATGCTATCTTGTCTGAAATCATGAATTGTACATTGCTTAGATTCGGCCTGAATGGTAATCACTTTTTGATTGTTAACCTGGTCACAGGCTAAGATCCAAGATGAGTTGATAATTGCACGAGAAATTGTGATAAATGATGCAGAGGCCTTAGTCCGATACAAGCTTACAAAGCGACAGACACAAGATGAGGTAAGGTATCCCTGTGATTAGCTAGGAGTGCTGGTTTCTCTAACTGAAATTTCTAAAGGGGCGACGTTTCTTCTTTTGCAGATTCAGAAGAGCACTGGTGCTGTAGTGATAACTAGGTTAGGTCCTTACAAACAGTTCTATGAGAATCTTGTATTATATTCTTTGCTTGTCAGTTTGCTGATTATTTCCTTACAGAGGCAAGTATCGTCCTCCTAATACACCAACTGATGGTGAAAAGCCATTGTACCTTCACATATCTTCAGGGGCACAGGTAAAACTTTGTTTCATTGGTATTGAAAATTAGTTTTTTGGCTGCACGGCAAGGCAGATGTAGTAATGATGTATGTGGGATTTTTTCCTGCTACTGTTTTTGCTTTTGCCGTGCACTGAAGTTTGTGTTTGGGGTTCTGCTAAATGAATTTTAGGTTGTGCATTTCTGGTCCCGTGTAGTTTGTATTGGTCATATGTGTTCTCTGTCATTGTTTTGTGGCGCCAATTACTCCCACCTGAGTTATGTCGTGTTCTTCATTGCTCCTGTCAAAGAGTGTGGCTTTTATTTGAAGACCATGTTCCTTGTTTGTCTGCATCAAGTCTACCTATTATTAGAGAATAGGAAAATGTACGTTTATCTGGACTTGGATCTTTCCAGTCATAAGGCTGTCCACAACCCAAGGGCTAAAAGGGCAAAATGCCCTTTTAGCCCCAATAAATGATCATCAATCATGGGCCATGTTCCTTGTTTGTCTGCATCAACTCATTGATGCGGTGGATAATTGGTACAGTTGAAAGATACCACAGAGCGAATTTTGGCGGTTGACCGAGCTGCTGCTATGGTTGAAGAAATGTTGAAACAGGGCCAGAATGTGCAGTCTTCTATCCCTATTTTCTCAAAGGCTGCAAGCAATGGAGTTATGGTATATTCCTTCTGATCTTTTTTCATAAAATTGAAAAACTCGTACTATTTTATCTAAAACTGAAGAATTTCTCCTAGGCATTGAGCACATGTGTGTATTTGGGCTTTGAAGCAGATCCATCCAATAACATTGCTGCAAGAATTCGTGGTCCAAATGTGAGTTATTATTTTAATTTGTACTTTTCCTGAAATGATCACCCAGATACTTCACAGAAATTTGCATATGTTTGGCTTAGGGTTCTTTGTTCTGTTCTGTTGCACCATTTGTAGCAGTTGTTTGTATATTGGTTATAATATAAGCGGTTGATTTTCCAAAACAGCATCGGGTTTTAGCAATTTTCCTCAGTTCCTTTTCTGAATTTTCCTGTGCACTTATGAGAAGAGGGATCTAATGTTTGAGCTTTCTCTCACATCTCCAAACTATTGGGAGAGACTCTTTTCTTCTGCTTGTGTTGGTTTGGTTTTGCAATGCAGGATCAGTACATAAATCACATTATGAATGAAACAGGAGCAAGTGTTGTACTAAGAGGGCGAGGTTCTGAAAATCATTGCAATCTAAACGGTGAAGATAATGTTCACTGTTCTTGATATCACTCCTGGAGAGCACTTAATTTGTTCTTTTTCAGTCTTATGGAACGTTCATCTCATTTCCCATGCAGAGTCCCAGCAACCTCTTCATTTGTTCTTGTCCTCAACTAACTCGAGAAGTCTTGAACATGCACAAAGTTTGGCTGAAAATCTTCTGCAGACAATTCGTTTAGAGTGTGGTGTGTCTAGGTAATGAACAGACTATACTAGATTGCGTACCAGTTTCATTTGTATCATGACTTTGAACTAGTATTTGCTCAATTATATTTCCTATTTTTAAGGGTTGGATTGGCGAAGGGTTACAATGCCGTCCCACCACCACAGCAGTTACTGACTGGAGTCGAGTCTTCTGGAAATTTGTCTAGTGTAAATACTTGTTCAGTTGCTGATATAGCCTCACCGACAATGACCTCCATTCCGTCTATAGAAGCTTCCTCAAGTACAGTTCCCAATTTGGGTGCTTTAGGTTCTCAAGGGGTCTTATCATCTGCTGGGGGAATGGTGGGTTTTGGTCTACATCAGCTGAGCTCGGTTGCTTATCCTCAGCATTTGACAAAAGGAGGAACAAGCTATAGTGGGTATGGTGGTATATATCCACAGGCCACACCTTTGCAACAAGTTGCTCTTGTCCTGAGACATACACCTTCCATCAACTCCACAGTTACTCCTGTAATATCAGTTGGAAGTGCAACACCTCTAGAAAATACAAACACTTATAAAAGTACATCCTGCCATTCCGAGAAGGAGACGGCAATGCAGAAAAGGAAGTTTCAGGAGTTACCCATCAGGTCAAAGGCCCCTGCAAAACAATTCCAGGTATCTATGCAAGTCTTACTCATGAGTTTTGCATGCATTGAGGGGTATGAGGAAAAATGATTACATTGGTGGAGTGAGAACTTGCAATTTAAGTTTCCGAATCTCTTCAGTGAGCTTTTCATACTGATGATAAAACTGGAGATAAACTATCATAACCTTATTATGTAACACCTTCGTTGGATCATCTGGTTCTTCTTTTGTAAGTTGGTTGGCCATTTACTAGCCTATCTTAACCTTTGAAGGGATAAGTATTCCTTATCTAGGCTTGCTTAGGATATGGTTTACCAGAAGTTCCGTAACTGTGAGCTCAACCTGGACTGACATTTTCTTCTCCAAATAGTCTGTGAATTCGAAAGAGAATATTAGACAATAAAATTATCAAAATAATGAACTATATATTGCCAAAAAGAAGACTTGAGAACTTATGATATGTTGAGAGTGAGAATGAGAGCGCTTGGTGTAGCAAATTGGAATAAATGTCCTAAAATGAGAAAAATTATGCATGTACTCTACTTGTTCAGTGATATAACAGACTCTTGTTGCTTGCACCTTAGAAGTGAAACATTGTCATTTGTGTATTGCAGCTATTTTTATCAGTTGTAATACCCACGCAACAGCATGAAACTCATTTATCAAAGCTGTGATAGCTGAACTGTCTAATCATAAATCTGATCCAGTCTACTTCTCCAAGTTTTAACTTGAATTTGAAGAAAAAATCTTCATGGTGAAGCATACCACACGGATGTAAAAATGTAAATATTAACTTCGCATCAACCGTACATGTGAGAGGTACCAGCCAGACTGTGTGCCTTGAATTACCTGCCGTAACGGTTGTGAGGACAATCATGTTGCCTGCCTGGGTTTTACCTTAGCTTCAGCAGAGCTTACCTCGCTAGGGAAAATGAAAATTCATACCAAACATCATCAGTTTACCTTTAGCTAATACAAGTGTACTTAGTTCATATCTGCTAGTTTATGATCTACACTCAATTTTTTAACTAGTAATACACAAGTTGTGGATGCCCATTACGAGATTGTTATGTGTTGTTGAAGTTCAATAGAAACCCTGCATGACTGCATCCTTAGAAACCATTTATTGAGTACAACGTCTGTTTCTACAACTCTTCTATCTTGTTTTAGCTATCTGACTTAAGTGAATCTTCGTAGTACATCTTTTCTCGGATTGACTTATTTTATTAATATCCATCTAGCTTCTTACATCTGGATGTACATATGTAAGACGATATAATAGTTCATATTGAAAGGGCATTTGGTCATCTTCAGAAAAAAAGAAGCAAAAAGAGTGCACGTGGTCAGAAAGATAGGATTTCTTATTAAAGGTGCTGGGACACAGAGAAATATGTAACTCTATCTTCATATTTTAGTGACTGGACATCAAGTTTTATATAGCTCTTGAATTATTCTGCTTTGATCATGATTCCTCTTTGTGCAACTCACTCTTTAAAGGATATAACTTTGAACTTCAATTCCCTTATGATTTGTGTTTCCTTTTACCGTCTGTTGGTTTTGTATATGATCTGACTTTTTTGCTTATGATTCCAGGTAATTTCTCTGACCTTCTAAGACGCTAACAGGCTGATACCAGACCTCTCTGTTAGGGCCATTGGTTTGTATGTTTCACAGGGTTCAGTTTTGAAGGCACTTTGTGATGGAATGAGACTCAGCTGGTGGGGACTGCTTCTCGGTTATACGTTCTACTTGAGTTGACGAAACCATATAACCTACTGGTACTGTTGAGTATCAGTAAAATAAAAGATGCATTCTGGCTGGGTTGAAATATTCTAGAAGTCGGATTTATTAGGAATGAAAGTTGGCATATGATTGTTAATGGCGGAATATGCTGACCTGAGAGCAACCTAAGTTGAACATATGTTTTAGTGGCACTGGAAGATATTTGGTGGATGACTCAGTTCTGTTGGCTGTGAATAAATAATCTCTCTAGATTCATCCTTCTGAAACAAATGAGCGTGAGTAGGAAAATTCACGTGTGTGGCTGACTGCAGTCAGAAGCTCAGAGAAATTTGTGCCAATAGTGGAAATGCATAACAATGGTTTTAGGATACAGTTGGTGTTGCCGTCCAATCTAATTCCGACGCCTAGAAAATGAGATAGATAGATGATGTCCAAAGACTACATTTCCCCCATATCCTGTTTGTTTGTTTGTTCACTGCTGTTACTGAATTAGTTATGAACTCATCACTCTATAGTGTCATTAAGAGATTATGCTTGTATTTTCCTGTCTATTCAAACTCATCTCAGGTTTCAAAGTTGGACAAGCTTAGTGAACTACCATCCACTCGCTTGAGAGTAAAGCCACCTTCGAAGGCATGTGTCTCTCAGACTTCAAATGGAATGTCGTCACCACGTCCACGAGGAATGCCCCCTCCATCCATGGCAAACTCCATGGCTCCACCTGCTGCCCCAAGATTAATCCCACCTTCCCCTAGTGCACAATACATGGCTCCATCAGAAATTATCACGAGTGGGGCTCAGAAAAGAGATGCCAAGATCAGTGTTCGGGATGAAACACAATTAGATAAAGTACCAGGTATGGCATTAGTGGCAACTGCTGTTCATCGCGTATATGTTTGTTCTCACGGGGCATCGTTTTCATTTTTTCCAGAGACTTTGATCAAGCTAATGGAATATGGGGATGACGACGATGACGATGAGCAAACCGGCCAGTTACTTGGAAATGGCAGCAACTCCAGTTCGACAGCAGTTGGAAAACCATTTTGGGCTGCCTGAATGGCATTCTGTCAGTAATTGCTGAGACTGAATGAACTATCGCCCTTGTACGAATTCAGCTACACACTGGGGTTTCTGATCACTAGATAATAATATCTATTGTAGCTTCTCAACCTTGATGTTTGGAGTCATCAAATCCTTCATCTGTACCGTGAAGTTTGGAGTCGGTAAAGAGTTTTGCGGCTTTGCTGTTTCAAAATATATCTAGAGCTCTCCTCTTTCTCCTTTCTTTTGCCTTTATTTCTGTTTTCTTTCTCCCTTTGGTACCTGTCCCCCTCTTCCTCTTTCCATGGAGGTGTGCAGTTATAATTTCCATGATTTGATGCGGCACGGGATAGTTTGAAAACTTTAGTTCGAAATCATAGACCCCAAACTGTCTCACACCGTCGTCGAAAGAGGTTGGAAAGGCCGCGAAATCGGGACGAGCGAGGGAGATCAGACAAGTTGCACGGTCAGGACGGGAAAGCGCACGGTCGTGCATAGTTGCCTTTTTGGCCGTGTGGGATTTACCGAGAAGCTGCACGGTCTGACCTTGTTTTTCGCAATGTCGTGCATGATGAATTTGTGGTTGTGATGATTTCTGCTAGAGAGCTGCACGGCCAGGCTCTCGGATTGTACGGGTCGTGCACTCCCCTGGCAGAATTATTTGAAACGACGCGTTTTGGGGTGCACGGGCATACTAGGAGGCTGCACGGTCGTGCGGTTTGGCCGTGCAATCGCGGAAAGCTGCTTCTTAACCCAATTTCGGGTTTTGGAGAGAGGGATACGACATTTTGAGCAAAAACAGAGTTCTGGAGAGAGAAAGTGCGAAGAACAAACCCTAGGAGCTAATTTGGAGTGGATTTCTCACCATTGAAGCCTAGATTGCATTCTCAGGAGTGAAGATCGACATCGCAAAGCAGATTATTCTCATCTTTATGAGTATGACTGCTTTGAATTCTGTTTTCCTCTCTCTATCTCTCTCTATGGAGTAGACTTTTCTCTCACTTGGGTATGAAGAACCCTAGTTCCATGTGTTAGAGATTTGAGTTGTAATGATTTTTGGATTGATATATTGTGGTCGATCCCGAGGAGCATACCATGGGCTATTACTGGACCGCCCGAGCCACAAACATGAGGTCCCCCATCCAACACCCTCAAGTTGCTGCCAACAACTTTGAGTTGAGTACCTCTGTCATCACCATGCTGCGCGACTTGGTGCTATTTCGTGGAAAGGAGGGGGAGTGTCCCAGATTGCACCTTCGGCTATTCCACGAGATGATTGATGGGATCAAGATAAATGGGGTCCCTGCCGATGCCATCCAGCTGAGATACTTCCCATTCACTCTGGAGGGGCAGGCCAAGGAGTGGCTAGACACTCAGCCTCCTGGATCGATCACTACGTTCGCCAACTTGGCGGACAATTTCCTCACGCGCTATCATCCTCCATCAAAGACGGTGGACCTACAGAAGCAGATCACTCATTTTGCACAGGAGGAAGATGAAACCATTCGGGATGCTTGAGAGAGATACACCGGTCTCTTCCTAAAGTGTCTCAATCATGGTTTCAATGACGCCTTCAAGGTGGGTACCTTCTACCACGCCATCTTCCCAGAAGACAAGCAGCTGATTGACTCAATTTGGGGCGGGAACATGCTGACCAAGACGCCGCCGCAGTTGAATAGGCTCTTCAAAGAGATGGCAGAGTAGTAATATGACTGGGGAACTGCTAGGAGATCGAGGCAAGCACCAGGGCAGGGTGTGCATGTTGTAGCCACCCAGTCATTTGAGTTGGTGCATGTTGTCTCAAAGCTGGTATCGGTTTTGGATCGTAATGGGAGGATCTCCGGGAGAGGTCAGCAGCAGGCGATGCATTGCCAGTGGTGCGAGAGCTCCCATCATACCGTAGAAGACTGTCAGACCATGCGTGAGTGCAGTACACCACAGGAGCATGTGAACTTCATCAACAATACTAGGCGCAATGACCATACAGTAATACTTACAACGAGGGATGGCGCCAACATCCAAATTTCTCGTGGAGTGGCAACAACAATCCCAAGCCACCTGGCTTCCAGGCTCCTGCAACTGGTCTTCAAAATCAAAGGCAGCCTTACCAGCCCCACTCGGGCCAAATGCAGCAACACAACCACTTTATCAGCCCAGACAGGGGTAGGCTTTTCAACAGCCCCCACAGCAGCAGCAGTACCAGCAGCCTGGTGCATCTCCATCAGTCCCAGCATCGGGCGATCCCGTATCAGAACTGAGGGATCTAGTGACCACCTTGGCCAGCACTAGTACCCAGAAGTTCAATAAATTGGAGCAATTCATGGAAGTGGTTGCGGGCAAATTCATGGAGATTGAAGCTAGCCAGAGGAACCAACATGCACTCATGCAGATGCCCTTACTTCTAGACCGACCCCTGTCGAATCCCTGCCGAATCCCAGAAATCATAAGGAGGGGTTGCACGCCATCATGCTGAGAAGTGGGACTGTGACTGAGGATGCACCGCCGAGGAGTGCAAAGAAGATGCCACAGATCACCCCGGAGCCGGAAAAAGACCCGGTGAAGGAAAAGGAGCCAGAGGTTCGGGCCCCAAATCCTTAGCCAGTAGTGGCTGAATATAATTCTAAGCTCCCATTTCCCACTAGGATGCACAAAGACCGGTTAAAGACAGAGTTCGGGAACTTCATGTCCATGCTTAGGAAGCTGAATGTTCAAGTGCTTTTTCTGGAGGCACTATCTCAAATGCCTAAGTATGTGAAGTTCATGAAGGATCTTCTCTCGAAGAAGCGGAAGCTGAGCGAGCTGGCCACTGTGGAGCTCAGCGAGGGGTACTCGGCCATTCTGCAGAATAGGCTTCAGCCGAATCAGCTGGACCCAGGTAGTTTTACTATCCCGTGCTCTATTGGTAAATTGCATGTAGAGAGGTCCTTGGTGGATCTAGGTGCTAGTCTCAATGTTATACCATATAAATTGTTCAAGAAACTAGGCCTAGGTGAACCCAGTGCAACTAGGATGAGTATTCAATTAGCTGACCGATCTGTAGTTCATCCTAGGGGCATAGTGGAAGACCTCATGGTTAAAGTTGGCATATTCTTTTATCCTGTGGATTTTGTTGTCTTGGACATCAATGAAGACATAGAAGTGCCCCTTATACTAGGAAGGCCTTTCCTGGCCACCGCCAAGACTCTCATAGATGTGCATGAAGGGACCTTAGTCTTGAGAGATGGCGATGAGCAGATAACATTTTTCATAGCTAATAATATACATGGTTTATCGCCTTTGCATGCTCTCTCACCAGGTGCACGAGTCTGTCGTGTATCCTTCTTTGCCTTCCATTTTGCAGGATTCTCCTCTCATACCCTCGTTGCCACTCTCGTCCACCCCGTTACCAAAAGAAAAGGTTCAGGAGGAGTGGCGGCCGAAACTGCAGGTAGCTAAGCCTGCTCCAAAGAAAGTTGGAGACCACTATGATTTGGTCCCGGCTCCTGAGCCACGACCGCCCTGGCCAACCGAGTATTCACTCGCTTGCATCCTGCCGGATGGCCAGGTCGAGTTGACAAGTGCTGGTGGTCACTCCCGTCGTGTGCATGGCCACCATCTGAAGTTGTATCTTAAGAGCGATGTGGATCCGCTCTTGGAGGCACCTGTTCCTATACTGCTCTAAGCATCCACTCTCTGCGTCCAGCTAAAGACGTAAAAGACGTGCTCGTGGGGAGGCAACCCTACCATGGTTTTTTTTCTCCTTTTGTGTCTTTTTGGTTTTTTCCACTTGGAACTATGGTTTCTATCACCCAGTGTGTTTTGATGACTCTAGCTCGGTGCCTTTCCACTAGTCCACCTTCCAGTCTGCCCTTGATGACTGGTCCCATTTCCCGTCCCCCGGCAGTCCATTTTCCCAGTAACATCATTCCCCTTATTCTTCCCTCTTCTCCATTGAGGGCAATGTCGTGCTTAAGTGTGTGTGTGTGTGGGGGGGGGGGGGTTATCTTTGACTGCATAGATGAGTTTGTGTGCTTGGAGCCTAGTCCGCTGTCCAAATCTCGAGATTTGAGGGCTCCAAGTACTATGTTTACTTGATCATATGGGAACTGTGGTTTATGTGGTAAATCGATTGGCTGTTAACATTGATGCGTGGCAACTTGATTGTGACTAGGACAACCTATAATGATGACTGAGACGTGCGGTTGAGTTATGTAGGGGTTTAGTTTTTCAACTATTTTGCTTGCCAACTGTGACTTGGATTGATCACTTATTTTCTACAATCGTTCATGCATCTAGTTCAGGGAATCAGAATGAGAGATAGAGCATATAGATAGTCATGTGAGATTTGAGTCTGCTCGTTTCTTTCTTGTGCGATAGATCCCTCTTCCATGATGTGTAGCATTCAAATTAGGATGATGGAGGCATTGGAATAGACCACGACCAAATTGACTGTCATGGTGTGTCATACCCACTAGTCAGCCCCTTTGAGCCGTGTAACTTTCATTCTTTCGGTCTTCAATGAAAAATTACCCTTTTGCATCTCTTAGAGGCAATGCAGTCAAAAGCGCGATTCTACCTAGAAGCGGAAAAGGGGTAAAATCGTAAAGCGTAGAATCAAAGCGTAAAAGCGTAAGTTTTTGACGCATACTGAAAAATAACTAAAAATCTATTAAGTAGGACATATGCTATGCAAAATATGAATGCACATAATTTAGATAAGTTAATAAATACATGTGATTCATGTTTAAAGTAGAGCAACTTATAGCATCTTAATAATAAGTTCGTAAACATAAATTTTAACGATAAACCACTTTTCCCTATATGCTAATGAATTTGGGAAAATCCTAGCTGGTGAATTAGATTACTCTATTGAAGTAGAATGCATCCAAGTACCTAGCATGTATCTTTTAATCTCAAATGTATCATATTGTTAGTGATTTACTTTAAAAATATACTTTTTATAATTAATTTCATGAAAAGAATACTCATTTAGTGAACTAAAAGCGTAAAAACGTAAAGCGTTTTGGTGAACTAGAACCGTAAAACCGTAAGTTTTTAAGCTTTAACGCGCAATTTAGTCCGATTTTATACACTTAAGTTTTTATATGGAAACGAAAGCGTTTTGGTGACCCAAAAGCGTAAAATCGTAAGTTTTTAAGTTTTAAAGCGCGATTTTGACTGCATTGCTTAGAGGTCCATCGAGTGGTTTTTGCATGTTCTCTACTGTTTCTGCTAAAAATAATATGAGGGTTGGAGGTAGTTCTTAAAAGTTGGGCATGTGTTTGAAAAATGTGCAGAGGTGGTGGTTCTCTGAAGAAAAGAAAAATATGAATGAAAGCAAAAGAGAGTTTGTTGATGCCAAGCTTAGAGCAGCCTGCTTCAATATGTTTAAGGTCTGGAGAGCGTTGATTTCCCAAAGCCTTTAACCACCTCC